AACAATAATAATATTAATAATAATATTATTAATAATAACAATAATAATATAAAGAAGAAGAGGACGAGGACGAGGACTAGGAGGAGGAGGAGGAGGAGGAGGAGGACGGAGGACGGAGGACGGAGGACGGAGGACGGAGGACGGAGGACGAGGATGAGGAGGAGGAGGGGAAGGGGGAGGAAGAGGAGGACAGGGAGGAGCAGGAGGAGGTAGGGGATTGGGAGGAGGAGGACCAGTGTACGCCCAAGACTCATCAACAATGTTGTTTGAATTGAGTTCTCCGTCCAAGCTCCCTCGTCATAGGCCCCTACAACAATTTATTTCCCTTGAGGGAAGTGCCCCGTTGGGAGACAATCGTTTGAAGATCCGAAGCGTGCCAAAACATACTTTTCGGGACCCCAGCGCCACAAATCAACCCGACTGTTGCGCTTGACGATCTTGAGTCGTGCCAGAAAACAGTTCCAGGGGTTTCAGCACCGCGAATCAACGTAACCGTGGCGCTCTGACAATCCTGAATCGTTCCGAACACCATTTCTGGTACGTTGGCCATGTGAACCCGTGAAGTTCTTGCAATTTTTTAGAACGAACGTGCGCGGCGCTCAAGCGAGATCCACATTTTGAAAACTGCTCGCCCTCAATTCGTGAAGCTCTGGCAGGTTTTTCATACGAGTGTGCGCGGTGCTGAGGCGAGAACCACATGTTGAAAACCGTCCGCCGTCCATCATTTGTGAAGCTGTTCCCCAACATCTAAGCTTCAAGATCATCTAATGCAAGTAAGTCTCCGGCGAAACGCCCGGGCCGCCCTTCCGACTGGCCTCGAGGTGCGATAGGGAGGAGTTATGTATAAGGAAAAGGAAAGGAGGAGGAGGAGGAGGAGGAGGAGGAGGAGGAGGAGGAGGAGGAGGAGGAGGAGGAGGAGGAGGAGGAGGAGGAGGAGGAGGAGGAGGAGGAGGAGGAGGAGGAGGCGGAGGCGGAGGCGGAGGCGGAGCCGGAGGCGGAGGAGGAGGAGGAGGAGGAGGAGGAGGAGGAGCACGGGCATATGCCTCCCCCGCCCTCGGACGCGCACGCGACGCGCACGCGAGCGGCAAAGCGACCCAAATGCCTCTTGCCCTAGCACCTGACAGCGGCTGTTCTGGTGCCGCGCCCCGAGCGTCGTCTCCACTTCGAGGGTCCTGGTCTCGGCCTCGTCGTCGTCGTCGTCGTCGTCGTCGTCGTGCTGGTCTCGGCTTCGTCGTCCTGCCCGATACGTGCTTACGCGAGTGTTGCCGTGGCAGCCTGCGAGTGTCGTTTCAATCTAGGGAGTGCCGAGGGTGCGCCACGGGTCCGTCCTCTCCGTCACCTGCAGCTTGTTCCATGGCCGCTATCGGCGGCGAGCGAGGGGGGGAAGTGAGACGGAGAAGGCCTTCTGAGAAGGCGGCGGGGCGTCGCAGCAGCGCTCTGGCCTTTGAGAGGTTTTCTGTGTCTTCGGGGAAGGCTCAGAAAACCTTTCAGAGGGCCAGGGGACTTCCGAGCCTTCTGAGAAGGCCCGCCCCCTCTCCTTTCCCCCCCGGGCGCGCCGCGCATCGTCGTTGAACATTGCAGGGCCCGCGCAGAGTTCTTGGACCTGCGCTGGGCCCCTCCCCCCCTGGCGGCGCCTCCTGCGTCCCTGGCCCCGCGCGCCCCGCGCGCCAGGGAGGGGGCGGGAGGTCCGGGGCCGATCCAAGGGATCTGCGCCAACCTCCGAACGTTTTCTGCCCACGCTTTTTTATTTCGTCGTCTGTCCTCCTCCGCATGCTCCTGCTCCGGCTCCTGCTCCCGCTCCTGCTCCTGCTTCTCCTCATCCTCCTCCTCCTCCGCCTCCCCCTCTTCCTCCTCCTCCTCTTCCTCCTCCTCCTCCTCCTCCTCCTCCAACTCGTTTTCCTCCTCCTCCGCCTCCTCCTCCTTCTCCTCCTCTGGTTGCAGATTGGAGGGGCAACACGGAATGCGTGTCAGAACCGGGCATCGAATATTTGGAGCCGCAGATGGCGTGTCAGGCGAAGGCGGTCGAAGCTGGTGCAGATTATTGCCGATACGCCTGATACTTGCAGTTCCCCGATTACAGGCACAGAATGGCCCTGGAATGTTTATGCCAAGACCAGCCAGGCGGACAGCTCCACGCCGACTCCGACGGCGCCCCCGCAAGTTTCCGCATTTGGCGATCCGCATTTGACGAACATCTACGGTGATCGATTTGACCTGATGCGGCAGGGCAAGGTCGTGCTCATCAATATCCCACGTGGAAAACCTGCGGAATACACGCTGCTCGTCGCGCAGGCCGACGTGCGCCGAATGGATGTGCAGTGTGCGGGCACGTATTTCCAGAGGTTGAACATCATAGGGGCGTGGGCGGACGAGGCGCACGCTGGCGGCCTCACCTTCGATGCCAAGACGGCGCACGAGGCGGGCGCGGGGTGGGCGAAGTTCGTCCCGCTGGGGCTAGAGGTTGTCCACGGGCGCATTGAGAAGGACATCCCGTACTTGA